TTTTCAGCCAACTTACTTTACAGCTCCCCACCATGGAGAACTATCTGGCTCAAAATATCAATACTGCCGAAATTCTGACGTAGAGGAATGAATTAAGTATTATCAAAAACGTCTTCATGGACTTAGGAGTTTTCAGTTAAAGAATAAATGTTGTGGGAAGTACCAAACTCCTTTTGCTAAGGTCTGCAATCTGATATGCCCTGGGAAACTGGTAGTCTCTTCAGAAATAGCTAAGAACAGGTGAAAGAATTTTGTAGATAACATATCCTGCCAAAGAAGTTTGCTGTTTTTTTTCCCTCGTTATCTTAGAATCTGATTGTTGTATATCTTCTAATACATTCTTTTCTTCCCTGTCCTTTCCTTGTACCCATCCACTAGGAGTAATAATTAAAACTCCGACTACAGATCAGTATGAAAAATGAAATTTCACAGGGATTATTGAAATTTATTTTTAATTTATCTGTTTTAGGAGTAGTAATAACCTATTAACAAGTGTTGTCTTTTAAAAATAATATTACTTTTTCCTAAATGAATTTTAAGGGAATTTATAAGGACACCATTTTTGATTTATTCTCTACCCTATAAGTTTTGTATAAAATTTTTCCAATCTTTTATTATGAAAAATTTTAAACATAAAAGATTGAAAGAACTTAGAGTGAATACTAATATATCCTCCAACTAGATAATACCATTAAGATTTTACTATACTTGCTTATCACATATCTATGATCTGTCCTTCTCCCTATTCTTTAATCCATCTTATTTTTTTTATACATTTCAAAATACTTTACAGAATTCAATACACTTCTCCTTTAGTATGCATATCATTAACTAGAGTTTGTTATTAACTAGAATTAAGTATTTAGTTGCAGTTTTGATTTTAAATTAAATTTATATAAAAATATAATAAAAATTTACTCAATTTTGACAAATGCATTTACATGTGTAATCCAAACCCTTATCAAGATATGGAATATTAACATAAGCTTAGAGGAGTTCCCTTATTCCTCTTCTTGGTCTTTCCCTGTCCCAACTTACTCAAAACAATTACCTTTCTGATATTTTAATACCATTGATTAGTTTTACCTGTATCAGAACTTGAGTATGCACTTTATTTTTTAAAGTAAAAGCTTTTTTTCCCCTTAGATTTTCTATTTATTTGGAAGATAAATTTCCAAATAAATTTCCAGAAGGTTGGGTCAGTCTCACCCTGTCAATGTGCACTAAGAGAGGGGAACTGTTGGTTCCTCAAGAAAAATATGTTCTTTTTCTGCATATTGTGCATATATGCAAATTGTGCAGCAATATTGTGCAGGAGTGTTGCATAACAAAAACAATAGATATCTACAAAGAGACTGAGAAAGCAGATCAGGTAGAGATCAGGTAGAAATGTATGGAAGGGAAAGGAAAGGAGAGAAAAGAAGGGAGGAGAGGAGAAGTAAGAGAAGGGAGGGAAGAGTGAGAGAGAGAAGGAAGGAAGAAAGGAAGGAAGGAAGGAAGGAAGGGAAGGAATAGATACATATACATTCATCTTGATGAAGAGCATCATGAAGTTCATGAAACCAATTAGCAGAGGTGGAAATTTAGCAATTAAAGCACTATTTAGAAGATTTACATGAGCATTTTATGTTGTAAATGATAGAAGTTCCATTTTTGGCTTTGCTAAAACAAGCTGTCTGGACAGTAGGTTTTACAGTATCATCTGTGAATACAAAAGACAAGATCTATTTCCCTATTTAGGGTATAATGCGCCTCAAGGCCTTTATGTTTTAAATAAATACAGATCTCTGCTCAGGACTTTCTTCAAAGCTGCTTTTACCTCTTTATTCCTCAGGCTGTAGATACGGGGGTTCAACATCGGGGTTACCACCTTATAAGACATCCCGATGATTTCGTCAGAAGTGTTGTGTCCTTTGACTTGGGCTTATATACATAAAAAGGGCTGAACAATAGAATAAGATGACTCCAGTCAGGTGGGCCGAACCGGTAGAAAAGGCTTTTTTTCTTCCCTCAGTAGAATTAATTCTCAGGATCGAAGATAGGATGAAAACATCGGAGATGAAAATTAACAGTAGAGGAATCACCAATGAAACAATATTTGTCACTGTCATGATAAGCACATTGATAGTGATATCTGGGCATATGAGTTTAAGAAGGGTCAATATCTCACAGGTAAGATGGTCAATAACATTATTCCCACAGAAAGGCAACACCATCGTCAGGACTGTTTGCACTAAGGAGTTTAGACAGCCTACGATCCAAGACCACGCAGCCATGTGCACATATAGCGCCTTGTTCATGATGATGGGGTACCTCAGTGGGTTGCAGATGGCCACATACCGGTCATAGGCCATCACAGCCAGGAGGACACACTCAGTGGAACCCAAACAGAGAGAGACAACCATCTGCAGAGCACAGCCAATGAAGGAGATGGATTTTCTCTCAGACACAAACACAACAAGCATCGGAGGAATGGACGATGATGTGTAACAGATGTCCAAAAATGAGAGGTTTCCAAGGAAGAAATACATGGGGGTGTGGAGGTGAGAGTCTAGTGTGCAGATGATGATGAGGAAGCTGTTTCCCAGGAGGATCATCGCATACATGATGAGGCAGAGCACAAACAGAAAAAGCTGGAGCTCTGGGTATTGGGAAAGTCCTATCAGAAAGAATTCATTCGCAGCTGAATAATTCCCCATCTGCATGTGTCCATGTCACCTTCAAGGTTTAGAAAAGGAGAAGACTCAGGGAAATTTAAATTTATGATATAGATTTTCAACGTACCTTCACTTCCAATATTGTTTTTGATTTTTGGAAACTTCTAGAAATCAGAAAAGGCAGGGATATGATGTTAATTTTATTGATGGATGGAATTGAGGCTTTGAGGAATCCAAAACATTGAAGGACTACACAGCAGCATAGTCAAGGCTACTAATATTCCAAGAGTTCTAATCGAAGTGCCAAATAAGATTTAGGATAAATTACTATCATATTTAGATATGTAAGGATGTCTTTGTTAATGGAAATTTAAAAATTAAAGTTGTTTACTGATGAAGTTGGCTTCTATTTAGAAGATTGTATAAATCCAGCACCATATCATTTAACTTGGATATGACTTTGTAAATTGCTGTATTTTTCTGAGTCTCGGACTATGAAAAAGCAATAATAAGTTGTCAAGTTGTCATTAGAAATAAATTAGGTAATAGCCGTTATGTGCCTAGAACAGTAGGTGGTTCCGACATGAGATATTATCTACATAATTATATTTATTTTATGTAATATTTAACTTATATAATATTGTAATATTAAATGTTTATTTACATATAAAGATGAAGGAAGAATGGCTCCTTTTCCTTCTGTTCAAGAAAAGTGCCAGGAGAGGGAGGCCATTTTTTAGAATTTAGGTCAAAACAAGTGAAAATGGAAACAGTAACTTCACCAAAAACACTGAATCGACCCATCACGTAGGTCTGTCTGAACCTCTTCAAGTAACCTTTTCTTTCACTTATGCCATTTCTGCTCCCATGATGGTGTCAAGGAGGTTTTGTTTTCCAAGAAGTTCATCAGCATCCTCACAAAAACATCCTAATAGAGAAATATAATCTGTGCAAAAAAAAGAAAAGTGCTTGCTTTGTAACACAATTTCAAGTCATCTAGCCTCTCCTTCAATCACACTGTTATCCCTAGATCCATTTAATGCAGAAATTCTAGAGGTGCTACAGAATCCCCAAATGCTCTACAATGATCATACTGTTTCTTTCAGCCTCCGCATTAATACTACACTCTTTTTCTTTGTGTATTTGGACCTGGTATTTTCCAAAGCTTGAAGGGCCTATCCTAACTTTGATATTAACTTTTCTGAGAAAACTTTCTCCCCTTTTATGCACTTAGTTCTCTATATTTACATCTCACATAGAATTCTTCATTTACTCATGCAGCTCAAATTATGCCATGTGTACAGTGGTAGGTAATAGGGATCTCATTGTGAGAACTTGTTTTTCAAAAAGGATACTGATGCAGAATGCTTATGAGAGTTATTTTATACTTTTAAGAAGCAATTTCTATGCTGTATAATATGTTTCAATATGAAGAAAATTATGGAACAATTTATAAAAACATTTTATCAAACTAAAATAGCCTGTTATCCCAAATTATCAAGGGTAGAATAAAATTATGAATCAACATTACTTATGCATATATATGTAAGAATCATAAAGTACATCCAAACTGTACACTAAAGTGATATAACTTATTTCATGAATTCATGAAATTCCAAAGTAATATTTAAAAATCTATCACTATAATATACTAAACAAGTAGGCAAAAGCCTTAAACACATGGTCATCTTACAAGATGCTAAAAAGCATTTGATAAAATATAATACTCATTCTTGATAAAATGTCTTAGTAATATAGATGTAGGAGGATACATAATTAAGATAAAATTAATAAAGATAATCTTTCTGAAATCATTGGATCACATAATTAAAAATGTTGAAACTCTGGAATGCATCCTTTAAAGTAGTCAAAGATTGATTAGCACTATTATTATATAACATTCCCCCTGCCCCGAATTATCCACCCAATAGGATAGAATAAGAGAAATAAATGACAGTGCATGTTTCAATTTCAACTGCAATTTAAACAGTTGCAGCAATTTTTCCCTCTAGGTTGCTGGAATTTTGGTTTGTGCTTGTTGTAGGTCATGCTTACTCATGAGAAGACATACCCTCATATGCAACCAATAAAAATTGTAATCTTGAAAAACAGTTAAGGGAAAAGAAAATGCCTATGGTGTAATATTACATTAAAATAGGAAGTTTCCTAACAGTATAAATAATCACAATTTATTTATATATGGCCGAAAAAAGCCATGGCAAAGGATTAGTTTTCTCTGAACTATGGGAATGGAGGTGTTAGTAATAGTCTTTATTTTTCCTCATTCTCCAGATTTTCTTTAAAAAAATGTTTCATGACGGTGAAAATCAAAAATATTTTTAAATTTTCTTTTAAGGATACAGTGGCAAAGATTTGCAGACTTCTGTCCCCAGTTTTCATTAAAACCCAAGAAAGGGTAAGAACAGTTAATAGAAAGGAAATTAGAGATAATTTGTTGAGTTATTACATAGACTGCTTTAATGCTATTTAATGTTTTGACTTCAGGCAATCATTTCACAAATACATCCACCCTGAGCAGATACACAGACACAGTCCTAGTTCTTGGAATAGGATTCTAAAGTCCACCATTTACATTGGTCCAGGTGAGTATAGATAGGATGCACTTTATCAGGCACCCAACTATATCACACAGTAAAAAGATAAGGCAGAAGAATACCCATGATGAAGAGTGGGATATCAGTGATTACCATTACCTCAGCTTCTTTATTTCTACCAAAAACAAGTAAAGTTTCAGTTTCTTGGGTCTCTGTTTTTGGCCCATCTCTTTCCAAATGGTCAGTCTTTAGATTGATGCTTGTCTTTTAACATCAACTATAGAAAGAAAGCAAACTCTGCTTGAGAACTTGGATCAGAAAGTGTTCATCCTTTTCCCATGTTTACTAACAGAAGAGAGTAGTAGTTTATAAAACATATGTACTCAACCAAACTCCCTGATTTTAACCTAAAGAACCTCTTGAAATAGGCTATACCTCACTCTCCTCAGAAGAAAATCAAATGCACTAAATAGTGCATCTTATCTCCTGCTTCAGCTAGTTTGCCCTCCTGTTTATGAAACAACCTATTCTTCATGATATCAGATATCCTTGGTGCTGGATCTCCCATGCTTTTCCAAATAAATGACCCCTTTTGAACCCCGAGGTTGCTAAAAATGAGCAATAGTGCTCCAGTTAGAATAAGGTCTCTTCTCATTTTCTTACATAGTTTTGAGAATTATCTTGGGTTTTCTTTTTCACATTTCTGTGTGGAAACCTAGAATACTTCTTTGTTGCAGAGAGTTCAATGTGCTAGGCTTACTGCTGGGGTGGAGTCCCCAGCATGTCTTCTTTGTGCTTTGATGATCTCTAGGGCCATGCTAGAGTGTACAGTCAAATACCCTCTAGTCAGACACATTGTTAGTAGTGGAGAGGGAGAGGAGAAAAATAAAGTTTTCTACCAACAGAATGTCATGTTAGAGATTTTTATGCAGTAGTAAGTTAATGTGTCACATAAGTCCTTTCCTGCCTCTGAGCCCTGAATATTTCCAGAGGTCCCACCAGTGGCTCTGGTAGCCAATTTAAATTCTCCTTTGTTTTATTCTAAGAGACTATAATCCAAGAGTCTTTAAATAGTACAGAAGGTAGTAACTTTTAGTTATGTTAGGGATGCTGTCCTAAAGACCTGATTGTACCTAACTTGTTAAACAATAATTTTACTTTTCCTCTGAATTTTTACTTCCCTGATCATACAAATAATATTCAGTGTAAAAAATTTGAAAAGTTAGGAAAATTCAAAGGAAGAAATGAAAGTCATTTATACTTATAGAATAAATATTAATTTTTTGATAGATACCTGTTCGTATACTATATTTACATGCCAGAGAGCACACTGCATTTCTGGATTTAGTATGTGCCTTTATAATTAACAATATAGTATATATATTTTCCCATATTATTTTATTAGGCAATGTTAATGAATTTCATAATCTATAAATGGTAACTAGGAAAAAAAAATATAAGAAGTGGAAGTGAAACAGTTTTTTGCTGGATCCTTCGCAACTTTTCACTTTTTTTTGGCTTTTTGGAGGTAATGACTAGGTTGGAGGACTGGGATCAGAGATTTCCATTATTTCATTCCCTGTGAGTAAAAGCCAATTTCCATGGTCAGAAGGTATCACAACGCCCATTTTACAGAGTGAAAAATGATTGTGATGTACATCTTTTCTTTTTATGGTAATAACCAAAGCTCTGCATGCACAGCTTCAAGAAATGTCCAACACACTCCTGCCATCGCTTGCTTCTCAATTGTCCCCTCTAACTCCACTTACCTTCTACCAACTTTTCAGCCCCTGACCCTGCCGTGCACTTCCAGGTCTTAATGTTATATTTGTGGCTATTTTTGGAAGTAGAATTTGTCACAAGTATTGATGTTTTATTTTGGCAGGCAATATTTCAACAAGACTCAAATTTCAAACTTGTCTTCTCTGAGGTGGGCAGCAATTGAAATCTCTCTTAAGGTCCTTTAGCCTTAGCTCTACTTATTTGTAGTTTAGAGATCAGCCAGTATTTGGACAGAGTTTATACAGAAATTTGGGGCTCCCACTCTCTGGCCATCTCTTTTCTGTGCTATTCTCTTTTAAATTTTCAACTGCTGTGATCTTCCTGAACTCTGTCCTCTGTTTTTTCAAGTCAGTAAAACTGAAGTTTTTCATCTGAATTTTAGTCACCCTGTAGTGATGGTGACATTGCCCTATCCTTATTTTAAAACTTCTGAAAGGGAAACTTACCCGGTGCTATTCCTTCTTATAGATGTTGACTGCCCCCATTCATTTTCTGGATGCCTGGGCTACTTCAGGAGGCGTTTTTTTGTTTGTTTGTTTGTTTCGTTTCATTTTTTTTTATTGTGGTAAGAACATTTAACATGAGATCTAAGCCCTGTTAATAAATTTTAAGTGTACAATACAGTATTGCTAACTATAGGCATGATATTGTTGGTCTCTGGAACTTATTAACATTGAGTATCTGAAACTTTGTACCTATTGAATAACAATT